TTTTTTTTTTTTTTTTTTTTTTTTCAACAGCCATTTGGTACTTTACAGTCCTTTCCTCTGAAATATTACAGGACCTTCTGGTCCAAGGAAATGTTTTAAATCCTGGAAAGCAGTGGAATAGAATGATAAGAGGCATTTATGATTAAGGCAGCTGAAGGCCCCAAAATCTTTAATAATTATCTCAATTATTTTAGTGTCTAATTTTTCATTAAAAGGTTCATACTGGAAAGTAAATCTCTGAAAAGATCTTGTGCATTCCTCATGGTATTCAGCACACTCATGTCCCAGGGAGCAAAAAGGAATTGTATTCCACAGATTAATGTGCACTGAAGTCTTGGCAAGTTTGGTTGGACAGAAGGACTCCTTCCCATGTGAGGTAATAAACAGGAAATAGTAAGAATTACCAGCCAAGTCAAATGTCATGGAATTTACCTGTGGCCTCAGTGAAAATGTAAAAGTAGATGTATAATGCCTGATTTGCAAAGGAGCAATGAAGTAAAATTTCATACAACACACTGAGTGGGATGTGTTGCTGACCTCATCATTATCTGTAGCAGACTTTAGACAGAGAATGCTGTGGTTACTAATTTCTCAGAGAATCTATATGCACACAGTGGGACCTACATCTCTGTCAGTGCCTTTGAAGGGGAGGTCTGCTGAAAAAGAAAATAAAATTACAACTTCTATCAGGTTCTGCCTAGAAAAAGCACATTAACAGAAACCACCTGCAACATTCCCACGTTATGAAATTATCTTTTAAAATGAGAATTTGAATTAGTGTAAACAGTGTGAAACATTTTCACTCTAAGRACATGAACACATTTAGAAAGCTACATATCTCCCCTTGCAGCACAGACTGACAGATGTGAAGAGGCACAGCCTGAGCCCTGTGTCTTGATGGCTACTCAATTTGTTAAGTAAATCCTGATACGTAGGGTGTCATATTTTCACCTCTCAGTCCCGTGTCCTGTGCGGGCACTGGTCTCTGACAGTAGCGAACTATTATCCTTGGTTAATATAAATCCTTGGGCAAACAGATAAAATTAAACACACGGGGAGCTGAGACCGCAGGGAGCTGGGACCTTGAGAAAAGAACAGAAAAGAACAGAAAAKAACAGGACAGCTYGCCCCATACGCTGTAAGAGGAKGTTTGGCGAGGACATTGTATGCGAAATAGAAACTGACTGTTGATTGTTTGTATTGTTATAAAAGGCAGTGTTATTTAGAATAAAAAACGGCTTTGCATGCACTCCTGGCAGAGTCCGTGTCTCAGTCGCTGACAAATGCCGCTTCCCGTGCGAGGAGTCGATAGTCCGCCCGTCTCCACGGAACTTCAGCGCTGCTGTGAGGAAGCAGGAACCGGCTGGTATTGAATCCTTTCGCAAGCACAGGTGAGAAGATGGGGACTGGAATGTCCTCCTCGGAATGCCATGTTTTTGAACAAATGTCTCGTTTGCTCGAAAAGCATGGAAAATCCGTGTCCTCCCATTCCCTTAAAATCATCCTACGATGGGCTAAGGCATGGGTGCCTGCTCTGACTCAAAGCACGGTCTTTACCCCTGAGGCGTGGGATGAAGTAGGTGTTAAACTGTGGGATCGGGCTACCAGGGGAGACAAAGAGGCCAGCGACATGCTCCCCGCCTGGAGGGCTATCGTAGAGACCCTCGGAGCCCACAAGAAGGGGAGCGGGGAGGAGGCGGCTGTCCCGGGGGAATGCTCCTCTACGCTGCCCGAGTCTGACGGCGCGGCACAGCCTCYCACGCTGCCGGCTGCCTCCGACACGGTTCGACCCAGACCGCTTAATGCCCTTGTGACAGACTCTGATGACGAGCAGGAAGATTCCTTTGATCCTGGCCCTATTGACCTGGAGAAAGAGCCAAACTTATTTCCCCTTGATTCCCACGATCACTGGGTTGCTATGCGAAGGGAGGCGCTGAAAGAAGGGAATTTTGAGATCGCGGCTAAAATAGTGGCACCGGTCACTTACCGCCAGAGACGAGATCCCACATGGAAAACTATCCCCTTTCCTGCTATAAAAGAATTGCGCCGAACTGTTTCTGACCATGGTATTAACTCCCCCTATTTTAACAGTATGCTAACTACCATTTATTCTTCTTATGTTATGACTCCCTATGACTTGAAGTCATTATCCCAGCTTTTACTAMCACCGAAGCAGTACGTTTTATGGGAGGCGGAATGGCGCAGGGGGCTGCAGAACTTGCTGGCCGCAKATGTAGGTCATAATGACCCGCGAATGGCCGCTTTAACATTAGACCAACTAATGGGAACGGGCAATCAGGCGGAACCTCCAGCTCCGGCAAGAAACATTCCAAGGGAGGTGCTGGGCGGAATTAAAGAGGCTGCGCGTCAAGCCTTTCTTAAAATCCCGAATGACAAAGTGCCCGAGAAAGCCTTCACGACTATTATTCAAGAATCCAGGGAATCTTACATGCAATTCATTGATCGCCTTAAGCAGGCTCTTGACAGGCAGGTCGACCACCCTGTGGCCAGGAATATTTTGCTTTTGAAGTTAGCTGTGGAAAATGCTAACCCTGACTGCAAAAAGCTCCTTAAGTCCCTGCCTAACCCCAACCCTACTGTGATAGAAATGATTGAAGCGTGTGACCGCATTGGGGGTATTGAGCATAAATACGAAAGGATGACCGCTGCTTTTGCAGCAATGGAAACCCCTCACGGCACACCAGGGCTGTGCTTTGCCTGTGGCAAACCTGGTCACGTAGAAAARGATTGCCTGGTTCTCAAAGGGAATCCCCCAAATCCACCAGCATTGTGCCCGAGATGCCGCAAGGGGAGGCACTTTGCTAATCAGTGCCGCTCCAAATTTGATTCGGACGGGCAGCCGATCGAGGGAAGCRGGTCGCGGAGCGCGGGACCGTGCTGCGAGCAGACACAAATAATTCCATTGCCTGCACAGGGGAACCTCGGGCAAACTCCTCTGCCCTGCGCGCAGCCACAGCAGGCAGTGCCAAGAGGGACCTGGCAAGCACCGCAACAGTGACACTTTTGGGCATCCCAGTACATTTGTTGCCACCAGGACTTAAGGACTCCTGGGGGAGCCGCAGCGCTTTGCTTTCAGGAAGATCATCGGTTACTTTTTCGGGAATTTTTGTTCTCCCTGGAGTTACTGACTCGTACTTCAGGGGAAATCAAGGTTATGGATTGGGCCCCTTTTCCACCATGTACTGTGCCCAAGGGTCTCGCATTGCTCAACTGCTTTTCCTACACCCTGTGCCTTGTCCCTTAATAACACAGAAAGGGGAGAGAAAGGGTTTGGCTCCAGAGATTTGGTGGATTCAGCTGATACCGGAAAAACGCCCGGCATGTCAATGTGTTTTTGTCAGGGACAGAGGGTGGTACTCACTGGCGTTGGCAATACGGGATGTTAGCGTCATTTCACAAGATAAGGCCACCTAACTGGCCTTTAGCTGCAGTTTCACAGAGTCTTTCAGGGATTGGTGGATGGAGTGAGCTGTAGTCAACAAAGCTGTAGTCATCATACTGATGTTATAGGGCCGACAATCGCGCAGCAAATATTAAACCCTTTGTGCTAGCCATCCCCACAGTTCTGTGGGGACGGGATCTCCTTTCTCAGCTCGATTTGCAGCTACCATCTGATTTTTAACAGAGGCCATTGTGATGTGCACCACCCCCCAACTAACATGGAAAACAAATAACCCAATTTGGGTGGACACAGTGGCCTCTGCCAGAAAAAAAGTTGTGCACGGATTGGAAAAGTTAGTAGAGGACCAGTTACAAAAAGGGCATATTGTATCCTCCACCAGCCCCTGGAATTCTCCCATTTTTGTAATTCAAAACCGAATGGGTAAGTGGCGCTTGCTCCATGATTTACAAAAAATCAGTGATGCTATAGAAAATATGGGGGCTTTGCAACCAGGACTCCTTTCCCCAACAATGATACCGTGGGACTGGGTCCTGACGGTCATCGATTTAAAAAGATTGCTTTTTCACCATATCCCTGTATCCTGATGATACAGTGAATGTATCCTAAATTTGCTTTTTCTGTACCGAGAAATGTCCTTTAAAAAGATTTCATTGGATTGTTTTGTCACAGAGTGYGAAAAGCAGCCCGACTATTGGTCAACGATTCCTAGCACATGTTATTATCCCCGTGCCCAGCGCATACCGGATGCATTAATTTGTCATCGTATGGATGATCTGTCAATTGCAGCTGAAAACACCCCACTCATGGAGGAAGCTGTAGCCTTTACCTCAGATGCTGTAACTRGAGCAGGACTATGCAGAGCTCTGGAGAAAATTCAGAAACAATCCCCATGGCTATATCTGGGCTGGCGCATCAGATCCCAAACTGTTTATCTCCAAACTTTGAAACTGCAGCCCAGTATTTCAACAYTCCATGACGCGCAAAAATTGTAGGGGCGATCAACTGGGTACGTTCCTTGTTAGGTATCTCTAACGCAGAACTCACCCCCCTCTTCACCTTGCTGAAGAGGGATCCTAATTTGTTGTCACCACGAAAGATGACACTAAAGGCTACTGAAGTCCTACAAAGGGTTTCTGATGCCCTGCATAAAAGGCAGGCGTCCCGCTATGCCCCCGGGCTACCTTTTTGTCTGATCCTTTAAAATCCAACAAAACAACCTTACGCCTTATCTGTCAATGGGATCCCCTTGTGCCAGACCCTTTACTGATAATTGAATGGGTTTCTTATCACACCAGGTGACAAAGACCATTATTACACAGCACAAAATGTTTACCCTGCTAATTATCAGAGTGCCAAATTGCCTTTTCACTAGTCGTGACTAGTAATAATTCATTGACTARCAGGTCAGGACTTTTTGCAGATTTGTTTGCCTGTGGTTATCTGCAATGGTTGTTACAAAATTCAGAGGCTTTACAAATGTCTTTGTGTAATTTTACAGGTCAATACTCCGCACCCACACGCACACCCTTGCTGACTGCTTCATTCCATTTACCWGCTGCAGCGAAGTTCCCTTGCAAGCCCTAATGTTTTTTACTGACGGGTCAGGGCTGACTCGCAAATCTGTGCTCTTATGGATGGATCCGGACACCCGCCAGCGGACATCGGATGTTGCAAGTGTTTCAGGTTCTCCTCAAATTGTGGCTGCTGTTGTGTGTGCTTTTGAGAAATGGGATATCCCTTTAACATAATTAAAGATTCTTTTTATGTTGCAGGAATTGTTGAGAGAGCTGAGCGCGCAGTTCTGTGGGTTATCACTAGTCCATTGCTCTTTTCCTATCTACAAAAGCTTGTTTTTCTTTTAGATAATCGCGAGAATCCTTACTTTGTTATGCATGTTCGCTTGCACACTACTACAATTTCCGGGCTTTATTACAGAAGGCAACCGACAGGCAGACCTTCTAACAGCACCCGTARAGGTTTTACCCAATAATCTGCTCAAATACAACGGAGTCACTCCTTTTTTCATCAAAATGTCTCCACTTTACAGCGGTCTTTTTCCCTCACATGTCAGCAAGCCAAGGACGTTGTTGTCTCACGTTCTGACTGTCAGACACGGCTTTGTATCGGACCCCCAGCACCAACCCTCGCGGTCTGCAGAGCCTTCAACTGTGGCAGATGGATGTTACTCATTTTCCTGAATTTGGCCCCTTAAAATACATTCACTCTTCTATTGAAGAGTGGCTTTCCTTCTGGAGCTTTGTTTGCGTCATGCCATATGGGGGAAGTGGCTAAAGATGCCTGTCATCACTTTTTGGCTGCTTTTGCCGCCTTAGGCGTGCTCAGCACGTCAAAACTGATAATGGTCTGATAATGGTCCTGCTTGCGTTTCTCGCTCTCTGTCTACATTTTCTGTTTCATGGGAAATGCAGCACACTACAGGGATCCCTCACTTTCCTAGAGAACGAGCCTTCACCGAACGAGCTCACAGCACGCTGAAGCATTTATTGGGGCAACAGAAAGGGGGAATGCAAGGCACAGCCCCGCGAGAGTGCTTGCACAAAGCTTTACACGTGTTTAATTTTTTGAATTGTTATTCAGACAGCAAGCTTCCCCCTGTACTGCGTCATTTTGCCCATGACAGCAGAAGAGACAGCGATAAAGGCTCTGGTTTTGGTCAAAGACTTGGAACCAGGTAAGATATAGGGTCCTTTCCCCTTGTTACRTGGGGAAGAGGCTATGCTTGTGTCTCCACAGAGACGGGACCTAAGAATGTTCGCCCGTTTCGGGAGAAAGAGCCGGAACAATCTGAGGGTGGCGCTGATGATTCCCGGTGTCCTGGTTTGGTTTTCCTCACCGTGCGGGAGTGTGGCCAGCGTCCGGGACCAACGATCGGGATGGAGGAGGACTACAGTGCGCCGCCCATCCCTAGGATTACCATATGCATGCTCTAGACCGCCAACATCCCGATCCATCGAGTGGGGAGCTCGCTCCCCGGCCGGAGCAAACGGGATTATTCCGACATTAACGGGATGTGTATCGTGCTTTATCTGCAGAACTGCTGACCACCCTTGGTGGGTTCTTTGCCCATGTGCTCATTGTACCTACAGGTGGTATTTATCTTTACACAGAGGAGCCCTGTSTACCAGGTGTAACTCCTCTGTAACGCAGTATTTAACCGGGAAGATCCAGACTSTCAAATTCACGTTTTTGATTGTGGGTGGAAATATTCTGTGCCTGATCATTGGGAGGTCAAAGAATCCAAATGGCAAAAAATCAAGGGACACTGCACATGCCGATATGGTGCTCACTGCTTTTACTGAGTGTGCAAGCTTTCACTTTTGCATGGCCCTGGCCTGTTGTTCAGCCAAAGACTAATGCATGGGTCACTTTGGCCAATTTGACAGGACAGGATAGTCTCTGCCTAGCCACAACTACTCCTGAAAATCCATTCTCTACTTGCCTTGTGGGTATCCCCACAGATATATGACCACAACCCCAAGCAGTACAATTTTTGTTGCAGTCAAAAAACCATGCTGATGCCTGGGACCAGTGAACCCCTTATTGTCCTCAGGCATCCTTTGAGCCACAAGAARTAGAACTTTTGGGAGTCCATAAAGATGGACCTCTGTGTCAAATTTAATTATTCTGGAATAAACCAATCTAAGGCATGGGAAATCTCTCCTTATCAGCCTATATTTGCAAATGAGAGTGCAAACTGGTGCAACTACAGATCGGAAACTATTTCCCGTGCAACTAATGTTCCTTTGTCATTACATCCAGGAGTATTTTTAATTTGTGGGGACAGAGCCTGGCCTGCCATTCCATCACATCTGCAGGGAGACCCTGCAGTWAAGGGCAACTCGCCCTGCTTTCTCCCAAAACATCCATCATTTAAAAGCATAAACCATTGAGATGGGGGAAGCATGGCATTCACACTTATACATCTGATTGTGGTGACTCCCTTGATTTCTGGCCAGTAGGCACATGCTGGGTTGTGTAATTTTTTGCCCCAAATGTGGCAGCTGTGAAAGCATTGGTATTGTTAGACAAACTAGGCTGTTGGCTAGCACATCAAACTAATGCTACTTTGCTTGCTTTAGCGGTCTTATTAATCAATGTTGATTCAGTAAGGCACGCTATGCTGAAAAATTKGGCTTCTATTGATTTTTTGCTTTCGGCACAGGGGCATGGATGTGAAGACTTTGACAGGATGTGCTGCATGAATCTTTCAGACCATTTGGGGTCCATTCATGGAAGCATTAACACCTTGCAGGATGGGGTTGCTAAATTACAGGAGATGGATGAAGCAGAGTGGCTTACCAGCTTGTTTGGCAGCTGGCAAATTGCCACGTGGATTAAGAATTTGCTTAAGCTAGGAATATATGCTTTAGGAATAGTGCTCTATATAATTGTTTATGTTCCTTGCCTTCTCCAATGCGTGCAGCATCTGGTCGACAAATCTATAAAGCAAATTTTAATTGTGGAACAGAAAGGGGGAGATGTGAGGGTCTCTGATAGTAGCAAASTATTATCCTTGGTTAATATAAAGCCTAGGGCAAGTAAGTGTAATTAAACACACAGGGAGCTGAGACCTCAAGAAAAGAACAGAAAAGAACAGGACAGCTTCCCCCTTACGCTGTAAGAGGAGGTTTGGCGAGGACATTGTATGCGAAATAGAAACTGACTGTTGATTGTTTGTATTATTATAAAAGGCAGTGTTATTTAGAATAAAAAGGGCTTTGCATGCATTCCTGGCAGAGTCTGTGTCTCAATCACTGCCCTCTGGCACAGTCTTGCTGCCCACACAGGTGYCTTTAGGCTACGTTTCTTCCACATCAAGAGTTTCCATGGTACTGAAGCTCACCTGCACCCATGCAAATACTTGGTTCCTACACAGCACAGGCAGAGCAGGTGCTCAGCTGATAAACACAGACCTCAGGAGCACTGCAGTGCCACATTGGAGTCACAAGCAATAGGGTTTTTTTTTGCACCAAACTGTTGTTCACATGATAATCCGGTTGGATTCAGGGGTAAAAGCTGCTGCTGTGGAAATCAGTGGGAGTTCTCAAGCACAACAACACTCACACAAGGAGACTGTTCAYGTCGGTGAGTTTGTCTGTGTGTATCAACATAAATGATATGGTTGGTTGGTTCTCCTTTGGTGCTGACTTTGGGTGAATGAATGAAAAGTTCTTACACTGAGCAAGCATACCAGATGTTTGCTCAAACACCAAAGGCTCCAGAAAAATGTCCCAATTTGAACTTCCCCAATGCAGCTTTCCCTCTTTTCTTGGGTCCTACCCCTGGTCACCACAGAGAGATGARCACATCCCCCTCTGCTGTCCCCCGTGAGGAAGGTGGTGTCACCCCTCAGCCTTCTCTTCTCCAAGGTGAACAAATCCAATGACCTCACCCTCTCCTCCTAAGTCTTTTTAATTCCTTAGCCAGTGGTCTAAGCACAGGATGACTCACATGGGTCTCACAAGTCCTTTAGCCCCTGGTTATCCTCTCAGGCTGTGCTTCTGCTAATGTGACACCACTGACCTCAGTGGGTGTATCCCTGACCTGAAATCAAGCAGCAAACAGAGAAGCAATCCCAAAATCCCTCAGCAGCAGCCAGCTCTGTGGAGCTCTACCCTAAGAGCATAAGCAGGTATCACCTAATAAAATTTCTCATTTTAAGTGTAAATGTGCAATTCTCATTGAATTAATACCCAGCAACTTCCCACATTTCCTGAATTCCCCCCATTCCGACTGCTCAGTCACTAAAAGGTGGCTTCTGGAAGTGCCACAGCATGAAGGCTAACTGCTCAGTGAACAAAAACTWTTAAAACATGGCATTTTGCTTTTGTTGACATGGACCTGTAATTGCTAACACACTTCTGCTTGCTAGCACATTCCAGAAWTAGCCAATCATTTAATTCACGTTCACAATGGACAGAAATCTGTGATATCCCATGGATTATGGGCTTATAAACTCAGAAACCAGTGATACATTCTGGTCTCAGTGGCTTGTACACAGCTGGTTTTAACATTTCTACTAGGCAAGGTCCTCCCCACAGAGAGCAGCTCAAGAAATTGGCTGTGAGCAGGGGAGGTTTGAGAGAGCTGTGAGGGAAAAGGAGGCAACAGCTTTCAGATATCCTGCTGCTGTGGTGCAGGCACTGCTGGCCCCTGTTTCACCATGGATGTAGGCCAGCAGCTTGCCTGGCAGCATTTGGCAAAGGGATTCCCTGGAAAAAATCTGCCAATAGGAGCTGGACCTTCCTCAACATGAATTAAGCAATGGGATCATGAATTAAGCAATGCCATGAATTTTCATGTTTAAGGTATGTGCTGAGTGGACATCATTGATGTTCTAATGGAAAATGAAATTAAGGAGTCAGTTTGCTACCTTTCTAAGAAAGCAATTCTAGAAGAAAACGTTGAAATACAACAAATCTGACCCTTTTGATTAAGTTTGTGGCTGTAAATATTCTTCTGAAAAGATCACAAAGCCCAAAGCAATAAGCTAATAATTTGAATCATCACAAAATCCGGTGATAAAATAGCGTGGGGATAAATATTTTTTGTCAGAGTTAGGGTTGAATTAAGTAGACTTTYATACATGTTGGTACCACACCAAGTAATAAGGCATGCTTACAAAATGTGCACAGAAATTCAGAGAGGAACTTCTTTGTAAATCTCAATTTCCATGCAATTCCAAGAAAACAGCAGTTCTGAAATATGTTTTTCAAAATAAGCCAAGTGAGCGAGGACCCAAAATCCAGATTTGCAGATTAATACAGACCCAGATGGGTGAGCTCTCAAGGCAGAGTTCTGGAACATTTGACTTAAAATTTCAATCATAWATATATTTTAAAATTGCTAAGGTTCTCAATTCCGTTGGAAATTTACTATTAGGGTATTGAGCATTTTTCCTTTTTATTACCATGGTTAATCTAAAATAAGAGAAGTTATTGCATATGAAAAATTATTTCCCAGAATGACAGAATAACTGAGGTAGGAAGCAGCTCTGGAAATTACCTAGTTCAGTGCTCTGCTCAAAATAGGGTCAACCAGGATAAGTTGTCCAAGCCTGTTTTCACCATGTTTTTTAACATTTCCAGAATGAAGACTCTTGAGCTGAATAATATTTACAGYGCAAAAATAATAATTGTGTTTAAGTAGAATTTCCTGTACTTTGCTTTGTGTSCATTGCCTCTTATCACTGAACTCTGTTGGGCAGCGTCTGCCTCTTTACCTACATACCTAACCAGCTCTACCTATAAATATTTTATTAATTTCTCATAAAATCTCACAGAGCAGCAAAAGGCCGGTTATGGGACCTTTTTCTCTGAAACATAACCTTTTCCAGCTGGCTTTTTTCCATTTGAGAATTCAATATAACAATTTCAGATTATATATAATTATATCTATTATATATATATATAATTATGTATCATATAACTATTTTGTTCCCTTCCTTGTTCATCTGACTTTTGGAAATCCAGATGGCAGGGCCTTTCAGGTCTTTAAATAAGTCACTGCCTTTTGCATGGTTGTACTTATAGACACACACAACTKGTTTTTGGTGAATTTTCAGAATATTCACCTGTTCTCTGTTGTTAAGGCACACATGGATAAGACAAATCTGCAACAATGGGGACTTAAGGGATAGAACATTCCTGTAAGTCCTACTTACACGTGTTTCACTCAGCAAAATAAGGAGGCCATCTCTGACTTCCTGCAGAWATGCAAAACTAGGAACAGTTCACTMAGTATTTTGGTTTGTCCATAAGTGTGTCTTTGTGGACCTGAGCAGAAGCACCAAGAACATGCCAAGAGCTCAAAAGACAAGAAGTAAAGTTACTTTCAATTACCAAGGCTTAGAATTGCATTTTCCCAGAGTGTCAGGGGAATATATGGGGAAACTTTCAGCACAGAAGAGGAGATAAATTTCACAGATATGTCAGTCCTTTTGCATCTCCCCATGATCCTCCCTTTCAAAGAAGTAGTTCAGTCATTGTGAGCTGTTTTAGCTCAGGTCTGACATTGATGAATGTTCTTGACTAAAAATAGGCCTGATTTAGGGTTGCCTCTACTTTTCAGAGTACTTCTAACCCAGACTGTAGTTCCAGCCTTAGAGTTTACCTGTTCAGCAGGAAAATAGGACAACAGGGAAACAGATACTTGGCAGGAAGYGTAAATGAAGCCTGCTCTTCCCTTCAGCACCCCTGGCAGCATCAGCCACGCTGTGGCAGAAACGGAACCAAAACACACCCGACCCAAGCGCTGGCTGCTGCTTTTCCTGAGCACTGGAAGCGCAACTGTGACTCCAAGGCTGTCACTCAGCCCCACCCCCGCGCCATCAGGGGAGGACACTATGCAGTTTACAGCGCAGGTACAGGGAAGCCCGAGAAGGTGCTGAAGGAAGTGCAGATGGATATCTGGCGCTGTTCAGGATCTCTCTGTGCTTTGGTCTCCTTCAGTCTCCTCCCATCACTTCCTTCTGGGATGTGCAAGCAGCAGAGGTTTCCCAGATGAATGAGCCAGRCTAAGAACGAGATCCTGAGCTGATCCAGCCTTGGGATGAGAGCTCACAGGGTGCTACAAGAGGAATTCAGGATGTCTATTCCTCGTTTAACCACACTGCAATTTGCATGTCTTCCTGCGATTTCCATGCTCCTTGTTGAAATAAAAAAAAAAAAAAAAAAAA